AACTGTGCCTGACGGAGTGACGAGTGAGGCGACAGCAGGCCATTTTCACCACGACAGAAAAAAGACAGTCGTCTCTCACTCCCGTCTCTCCTCCCGTCGCGCGTCCCCGCGGCCCGCGGTCGAGCGCGGTTCATTTTCTGTTCTCTCGCGCCGCTGCTCGAGCCACACTGGAAAACACGTCCGTAGAACAAGTCAGAAAATATCGTTTGTTCGAGAAAATTCAACGAATGACCCTGAAATTAAATCAAACAGAACAGCAAACAACTCTTATTACTTTATTTTCGTGGAAATTCCGTCAATGATTTATTTTCCGGAAGTCTACGTTGTCGCTTCACAACAGTTTTCAAACTGTGGCACTCCGTGCAGAAAGTTTGATGTGCACGTGACTTAACGTTGCCGTGGTGACCAAAGCGTCAGATGACACGTCAAACTCATGTCGTCACCCCCACAGTGCGTTGGTGAGTGAAATGAAGTTAGTTTCAATTCGCCCCCATATTCCATCTGGCAACTTTCTGGCCGTGTGCACTCTGCATCGTTGCGTGCGTGGGGGTGGCGCCGCACTCGGTCGGGGGCACACACTCACTCTGTCGAGGCCTCCCGCCCCGCCTCACCCCGCCCACCCCCGCCCCACCTCCGTCCCGTCCCGCCCCGCTCCACTCCGGGGCGGCGCCGCCGCCGCTCTCCGCTCGCTGCCCCCGGTAAAAACAGATTCAACGAGACAAGCAGCCAACGTATTGTGCAGAGCCACCGGCCCATCAAAAGCAACAATAGAGTGCTTGCCGGAGCGTGCACCCTTTGTCGTGTTCTGATAGCGTGAACTAGCCGTGAGCCCCGCCCGCCCCTGCGTCACTTGTGCCCCTCTGCCACCCGCCGCCGCTGGTCGTGATACCCAAGAGTTTTGACGTCTGTGAAGCCAGTCAGGCCAAGTCGTCGTGTCGGCGGGCTCGGGCGGGGCGGCGGGCCAGGCGAGCCGGAAGAAGCACCTCGAGGTGGACGCTAGAATATAATGTACCAAGGGTCCCAAGGGATCTCCCCCAGGCGCCAACGCCAACGCCATGCTGTTCTGCATGAGCGCCCTGGCCTGGCCAAGTCTTGAAACGGCAGTCAGTTTCGTTTGGTATTTTGCGTCGGCTGCTTACCATGCCATTCACGGGGGAGGACCTGGCGACTTGACGCGCCGACAACGCCCCCTAGGCCATCAGCGGTGCTGTGTAACTGTTTCTCTATCCCCACAATGTCTATCACGGTGACGGGGTAGACACAAAAATTAAAAGGGGAATTAAAAGAAAAATAAGGAGAAACAGGTAGTCGTTTATTGCGAATTGCGGCCCGCCTCAAAATAAGATGGCCCCTCTCTTTCCGCCCCCAGCTCCTCTTCGCCTCGCCTCCTCTCTCCCTCATGATACTCCTTACGAGTGTCCTTTGTTTTGCGCCGCTCCCGCCGCTGGACGTCTTCTTACTTTCAGTGTTTGGCTGCCCCTCTGTTTCTTCACTGCACCCTCAGCCCCCCTCCCTGCCCTGTACTCCAAGCAAGATGGAATGTCTCCCTGCCCCCACCCCCCCTGCCCCTGCAGCACCGGCCGCCCCCCGCCGCGCGCCGCACTGCCGCCACCCTTTGTTGTTTCCTGAATAACACTCGTCTCCTGTTTTCCCTTTCCTTTTCCCGCGCCCATTGACGCGGGTTCAAAGCCCATTGCGGTGGGATTGTTCCCCTTTTGACCGCGGCTGTTGCGCGGTCACTCGGGGTGGTCCAAAGCTCCTGCCTCTACCACCTCTCCATCCCCTCACCCTCCCTCTCTCCTTGCCATACCCCACCCCTTTCTCCCATTCCTCTCCTGTACTCTCCCTCTTTGCCAAAAACGGCTTTGAATTGACATGAAAAATTGCCCTGCTACTTTGCGGATTTTTCTGCCTGATGCAAAGAAAAATAACTACTGCGACCACGATGTAAAAAAAGGTCTGAAGACTTGTACTTAGCCCTGATGCTCATTTATTCACTCGCTTGTGTGCACGTCGATGTCGTCAGCTAACGAGAGCAAAAATGGAGAAACCATGCTTATGAATTCCCGCTAGTCAGAAGACACATGTGAGCTGAATGGGAAGAACTAAAACGTTTAAACGGACAGCGCAAACTTCCCGTCCAGCTACTACCACTACTATAAAATACTTGATAGACACTTGTGTTGCATAATTTTGTGCAGCACATTTGTCTGTTGAAATGACGTCAGCCTCAAGGCTGTCGAAGACTGGCAAAGGTCCACTGTAGCTGAAACAAAAGACGATTCGGACGGCGGCGGGTGCGGGGCTGAGAGAGAGAGTAGGTGGTGGGGGAGGGGAGGAGGCGTGGCACGGTAACGACTTGGCATGTTTTCTCCGCGGGGTACAACGCAATTCGTTGTCCGCCAGCTTGTTCGTTCAGCGTGCGCTGCTCGCAGGTAAAAATAAATCACGGCCACTCGTGCGCACTCCAATTGTCTACCTGTCTTCCAGGGACTTTCATCCTTTCAACCCACGTTGATACGAACGTCTGCCGTCTGCACGCGCGCTTCAAACTCCGGGTTACTCATTGCAGCGTGTTTAAAAAAAAAAAATAAACTGTACAGTTTAAACATCAATTCTTTGGGTGTTTACCAGGGTGGAACGAGAGCAACGAACGAGTTCACGCAGTATCTTTACAAACTGTTTATTTTACGTGGTGAAGGTGCATCGTAAAATTCGCCACGCGATGCCGTAAAACCCATGTTCCTTTAGTGACATTTTTGTTTTTACCGCCGTCGTATTTCTTCCTCTCTGTCGCAGTGTGGTCGGCCCAGCGCGACAACGAGAACGCCGGCAGCGGCTCGGCGGACGGCAACGCGCTCGGCGAGGACGCCGACAAGGGCGACAAGCTCCTGGACCCCTGGGCGCCGCCCACGCCGGGGCCGTACTTCGACATGGACGGGCGCAGCAACGTGACGGCGCTGCTGGGGAAGACGGCCTTCCTCAACTGCAGGGTGCGCCGCCTCGGCAACAAGACGGTAAGGCCAATGCGCAATGACTAGCAGAAAAAAAAGTTTTTTTCGGGCACTGCAGTTACTGGCTTTGCTGTCAAATCAGGTATTATAGACCTGTACACATTTAAATATTTCGAGTCAGAATATCACGTTGTCATCCCGTTCCTGCTCCCCCATTTCTACAATTTCGAATTTGTCCTTTGATGCTGATGCTCTCTTCTCTTCAAATACTACCATACGCTGGGATTCACTACTCGGAACCAGTGACGGACTGTTGAGTAGCGTCGGCAGCCTCAAAGAGACATAATTAACGATGCCGTAGAAAGCTCAGTCTCAATCGGCCTCAATGGTAGCTCCGAGAAAAGTGGCAGACACAGACGAAATGCGACTGTCTGTATGGTGTATTATGTACTTGTTTATAGAGGCCCTATTGCGGTGTGGGGGCTACTTCTGATTATACGAGTTGCAGACCCGTCGGCGTCGTGTCATTGACTGCGATCGAAGCTTCCGTAATGGCCCATTGTGGGCCGTTTATTAAGGCCGCTGTGATACAGAACCTACGCCTACGGTAGGCTAGACGAGCGGGCAATGGCTTGCTCGGCACAACTCACACCCACACACACGCGCGCACGCGTGCGAGCGATAGATTGTCAATAAATTGCCCACGGAGCGTTTAGTGATGCTATCAGCCCCCCCCCCCCACACACACACACCTTAGTGTTCACCTGCTCTGTGTACACGCGCGCACTCGCTCACTTAGACTGAACCTACAATGACCAAAACACAATCAAACTGCGACCCACATGCTGGGTCGGATATAGGCGGCTTTGAGGGACACAGTTACTCCTAGTTTCCTTCGGTGCGAAATGCGAACCCGGGCCTTATTCTATTCCCATGTCTTTATTGACCTGGTCGTCGGTAAGACGTTTGCTCTTGCAGACCCTCAGCGGTGGCTGGAACTTGAAGCGCCTGGAGGGTAGGCCGTGGCGCACCTCGGGAGTGATCCGGTTGCCTACCTCCACGGCGCCCTCCACCGCCCAGTCCTTGTGCCTCGAGTCCCATCTCCGACCGGAGGGCGAGAGGTTTTCTTTTTTTTCTTCTTTGTTTTGGCGCATGATTGCGAGAGGACGATTGCGTGTGTAGCGAGTGAGAGGCGGCCCTCCTGGGCGGCGACCAGGAAACGAATAACAAAAGCGTGGCCTTGCGCGGGCGAGGCCGGGCCTGGAGCCTGCGCGACGGCGTCACAACTTTGGATATGAGATCATCCCAAGTAAATAATGTAATATTTTTTTTCTGGAGACACGCATGCGGCTGGATGTCGTCTGGGACATCCCTGTGCGCGCGTCGCCAGGGAAGGGCGGGACGCGTGGCGTGGCCGGGTGGGGCGCGCTTGTTTTCCAAGTGGTTGAATCTCCAGACAGGAGCGAGAAACGAAGATAAATAATGGTTTCCCAGCCTTCCTTTCTAGTCTCTTCTATGTATTTCCATCCTGCCTCACGGCCAGCGCGCGTACACACGCTCGCAGCTCACGCTCTGCCACGGTTCGAATGGGCGTATCTCGATCGAGCCGTCTTCTTCCACAGCACACCGGTGGTCGCGCCAAACACACAAACAACTACCCCGCACCTACCCCCTCACACGACTCAACGTTATCAGTCTCAGACGATCGCTATATATTTTATATGCCCCACCTTTCGAAATAATGGGTAACTTTTTGAGGTCGACCAAGTCTTTTCACATAACCTCCCCCAAACGACGCCGCGTTTCTATAGACGCGGCCTTCCACCGGATCACGACGGCCAGCTTTTGCCGTTGAGTTATTGATGCCTTAACGTTCCTTACCTTACTGCTGCGACAGAATTATAAATGTCCTGTTAGGTTTGCAGCCGAGGAATAATTCACGGGCGCGCGTCGAGTGCAGCCGCCAGGTGGCGCGCCGTGCCCGGCCCGCCCAACCCCTGCGGCCCGCGGGGTAGCGCCGGCGCCGAGGGGCGCATACCCCCCGCTGCAGCGAGACTCCAGGCCGCCCGCGCGGCCCGCGGAGCGCTCCCGCTGGAGCGGCGGTCAAGGGCGCCGCCCCCTGCTCCCTGCGCCCCTCCGGCCCGGCCGCCCGAACAGCCTCGGTCAATGTTTCCAAACTTGGACACCACGGGCTGATTGGGCCTCCTGGAGCAGCTCCTGGAGCAGCGGGACGAGCCGCGGGACGAGCCGCGGGCCGCCAGCAGTCGCCCACCAATGTAACAGCGGAGCGGACTCCCTCTGGTGGGCGCGCCAGCTCCTCCGGTGGGGCTGGGTGGAGCAGTGGAGCAGCCGGCCGAGCTGCTGCTGCTGCTCCTGGTGAGCCGCCGGCATTCGTCGCCGGTCGGGGTGTAAAGACAGTCATTTGGACTCGGGGCGCCTTCAGACCCGCTAATGAGTGGCCGACTGAAGGGTACGCCGCCGGGGGTGTGCGAGGCAGGACGGGCGGCTTGGGCAGCCTCTTGCGCTGACAAGAAGGCCCAACCAACCACCACGGGCTTCGCTCCGGCCCGCCGCACCCCGCCCCGCCGCACTCCACCCGCTACACCCACACCGCGCCCGCAGCCCTCGCGCTCATTCATCTTGCAACGCAATACGGGCTAATGAACCTGCAGACCAACTGCTGTGGGACAAAAACCAAGTGCACCGGAGTGGGCTCAGCTGATTGGTCTGCTGGGGCGAGGGCAAGAGGCTTAGAGGAATGCAGGCAGGGGGATGTTGGAGGTCTCGGCGGGTACCCTGCTTCAAAGCAAGAAGCACGGCACCGTGGCAAGAAGGACCGACGTTAGGCCACATCATTACACGTGATGTTCGTATAAAAATCTTTACTGACAAGCTTAGGTTAGGACTCGAAGCTATTTCAGGTACCTGATTGTGCCAGCCTTCACCACCACTAACCACTACCCCACCCGCATACCTTTCGCCCCCACCTTGCGCTCCACTCAAGCCCCCCTCACCCCACCCCCGCCCGCCTCAACCACGGCTCCTGCTGGGGTGGGGCCGTCCCGGGGGACTTTCCAGACAGGCTGCAGCCGCCCTGGCCCGCCGGGGTATTCTGGGATCCAGCAGCAGAGGCGGGCGGCGTTCCTCGTCGAGGACTACGCGCGCCATGTGCTCCCGTGCGCAATCATAGAGAGTGCGCACTCTCCACCAGGATCAGGCTTTCATCCCTTCACCGCATCTTGGAGTTTTCTACGCCTATCGCATTATCCCTCTAAAATAACCCATATTGGTAAAGAAAAAAATTGAATGAAGCGGTTCGGTACACGCGCAGCATTTCCTCGTACTTGAGCCTGCTTGAATGGCTCCGGCTTAAAGTGTTCCGCGTGTAAATCAGCGTTGTCCATCAGGCAAGCCCTGCACCAATACGCAGTCTAGTACAAAAACCTAAAACCATTGAGTTAAAAAAACGTACAATCGCTGCTGACGTTGTGCGTACAGGCCCCAGCAACACTTTTCCTCACTCCGTGTTCTTCAGCGCTATTGCAGCCGGTGATCGATCCCTTCCGAGTCCGCCTCACAGTACCTTGGGCGAAGATTGATTCCCTTAATAACTCTTGTGAATGACGCCCTCTTTAAGAACCCTCTCTCCCTTCGGGTGGTAATCAGTCTTCTATAATGTCGATGCAGACTGAATGAATGAGTGGCAGAAATCAGCAACTCATTTCCCACCCGCGGCGTCCGGCTCCTAATGGCGCGTTGACGGATCCCAGTGCCCTCTCATTCGCTGGTAGTGTTACCACCCCCTGCCTTCACCCCACCCCGGTCCTTCAGGAACTGCCACTGCCCCGAACAAGGGGCATGCTGCGGCGTGAATGTTTTTCTTTCTGCTTTCTTTTTTCGGTGGCGTGATTGTCCCACAAATTGCTTGGCCGTAAACTGCTTTTCAAATGAAAGTGAAATGTAAAGAGGAAGCCACTACGGGGCGGGGCGCGCCTGTCGACATTTCCTTTTCAGTCTCGGTTATTTCTCTTTTTGCCGGGGGATGTTGTCTCAGCCATGTTTGTTTTTGTATAAATGAAGCCGGAATGGCAGTTTAACTGTTGACATCGTTCCGGTTTTTGTTTGGATAGCGCGGCGGGTGGCAGCAGCCTGCCACTTGTTGCGAAAAGAGCGTCATGCATTTAGCCCAGAGTGCAGAAATGAATTGAAATGCATTTGCAAATCTCTTCACCAAGCTGCGCTTGCCGCCTCTCGGGCTTCTGTACTCTACAACTGTACACAGTCCTAACGGCATGTGCGATACAGAAAATAAGTTACAACTTGGTAGCATCTTACTTCATTAAATTGAAGTGGCTGAAGTCGTCAGTAATGGGGCTCCGACCACTGTGAAAAATTGTCATACCGGGTTGGGGTAGTGGCGAATTACAAAATATGTCGTACTTGTACAAACAAGTACAAACATATTTTTCCCACAGTGACAGTTTACCTACCTGTTTACCTACCTGGTGAGGATATGAAACATTTTCCTTGTCTCTTTGCAGGTCTCGTGGGTTCGGCACCGAGACACGCACCTGCTCACCGTGGGCCTGTACACCTACACCAACGACCAGCGCTTCCGCGCACAACACGGTAGTGGCGACGACTGGGTGCTACAGCTCAAGTACCCGCAGCACCGAGACGCCGGGACGTACGAGTGCCAGGTGTCCACCACGCCACACATGTCCCACCTCGTCAACTTGACCGTAGTGGGTGAGTAGCTGTTTGGGAGGGTGCGGCCCGCAACGCGCTGTTGCACCCCGGGCTGCCTATGCGCTGCACCGCAGGCGGTCGCAGCGTCGTACCTTCTGCGCACTGCGTTCATTCTTCCGATCATATGCACGCTCTCTCTTTTTCTCACTCACTCACTCACTCTCTCTCTCTCTCTCTCTCTCTCTCTCTCTCTCTCTCTCTCACACACACACACACACACACACACACACACACACACACATCCCCCCTCTCTATCTCTTGGAAAGGAACCCTATGCAGGTGCCACTCTCAACTCCAGACATGTTTGGTGTATTATGTAAAATAAAGAGAGAAAAAATGGGAAAGGAGAGTTGGGTCAAAAGAAACACACACTGCTTCTCCTCGCAAGTCAGAAGGGGCCTCGGTTCATGCATTGGCCTGAGGGTTCCTGTAAACAACTCTACCCCCC